GGCCGTCAGTAGGGATATTTTTACCCTCATGACACAGAGGAGTGTGACACACTCCGTGCTCTCAGTGGGTGGGTGCAGGGTTGTTTCATGTTGTTCTTGTCGTCAGGCCCAGCATTACAAGTGTCCCCGTTATTAGTGGTGTGTGGCACAACCCCCTGGTCCCATCCTGCCACGAGGGGCTGGGGGGGGGGTGGAGGTGGGTGCTGGGGAGGCTTTGGTGGGTGGGTGTTGAGCTGCAGCCCCCTGCTGATGGTGCAGGGGTGGTTTTTTCCACGGAGCATCGTTGGGATGGGGGGCTCCAAATGAGGGGCATTTCATTGCTTTGCTCGTACCTGTTTTGCTCAGGCGTGCCCATCTGAGCTGCCATTGGTACAATTCCATCTTCCCATGCCCACCTGTCCGTCTGAGGGGTCCTGGCCCTCAGGTGGTGGTTCTGGAGATGGAGGGAGCAGGGACCACACACATGTGTGGGAGCCAGGGAGGTGGGATGGAGGTGGCAGGGGCCGATGCCGGCCAAGGTCTGACAGACTCGTACATGAGCCCGTGGTTTTATAGCCCTATAAAAGGCAGCTGACAGCAGAGGTTCTGATTTTGGAGGCTCCAGCCCAGCTGGGAGGAGTCAGCCCCGTCTCCCGGCGCCGGAGCCGCGTCTGCCGGTGCTGAGCCGTGACGTCGGGATGGGAGAGCCAGGCTGGGATTCCCGGTGTGCCAGAGGGCAGGAGCCAGGCCCTCACCATGGCACTGCCACAGCCCTGCCAGCAGCTCTGGGCTGCTGCTGCTCCCCTGGCTCTCCCCTTGGACATGGTGCAGGGCTTGGGAAGGGACTGTGAGCACCTCGCTCTGCAGGGTGGACACATCTCCCCTTCATCTCATCTCATCTCCCCTTCATCATCTCCCCTTCATCTCATCTCATCTCATCTCCCCTTCATCACCTCCCCTTCATCTCCCCTTCACCTCCCCCTGCCCTGGCTTTGCTGCTGGGGGCTGCAGGTACTGCAGGAGCTGGCAGGGAAGGGTGAGGCCAGCTGAGCTGCTGGCACACCAGCACGGTGGGCAGAGCTGGTGCAGAGCTGACAGAAGGCAGCAGAGCACAGCCTGGTCCTCAGCTGGTTCCCTGCCGTGGCCTCTCGCTCCTGGGTTTGCTTTCTCTTCCCTGACGCTTCTCACCGTATCCACTCATTCACTCCAGTGCTGTTTGGGACCTGAACACCTTTCTGGAGCCGGGCCAGGTGACTTGGCCCAGGTCCCTTCTCGTGTTCAGCACTTGCTCATGGATGGCTGCCACCATCTCTGGAGGCCTTGGAGGGACTGTGAGGTAGGGCTGCAGGAAAAAACATCTTGAGGTCTACTTGCTTTGAAAACTTGGAGGTTTCGAATCGAGGCAGTGGCAGGGCTGGGGCTGCACCCTCTATTCTCAGTTACACTTGGGACCATCCCAGAGAGTTTGCTGGGGTGAAAGGTTTGATGTTGGACTCAGGGATGCTCCATCTTAACCAGACTTAGTTACCAGCTCAGAAACCAGGCAAGTGTCCCCCTCATCCCAAAGCAAAGCAAAGGCAGTGAGGAGAAGGTACAGACTTGGAAAAAGGAGGATTAACCTTTTAAAGGAGTTTATCCGTAAAAGGAGGAACTAAGCCCTAGAAAATGTTTGAAACCTGGAGGAAATTCGTCTTTTGACCCAATTCTACAGGAAAGATGGGGAAACTTACTGTAAAAACCTTGGGATGTGGGATGTGCTGCCTCATTCCCTGTTATCTGCGGGGCAGCTCGGAGCCTCTGGCTCCGGCTGGAAGCTGTGCCACTGGAAAGCAGGGAAAGGAAGGGGAAAGTAAGACCCTGAGCTCTCCCTTTCTCCCACTCAGGCTGCTCAGGAATGGCCCTGATCCCCCACCACGACCAATGGATCCTGGCTCTTTTTTTATGGAGACTCCCCACCGAGGTAGACGCCAGTTAAAAGGTTACTGCCCAGCTGTGAAATATGTAGACAGGGTAACAGCTCGATGGCGGGGTGACCTCATATCTCATATTTATTGACTAAATGTGGCTTGAACTAGTCACCACTAGTAAAATAAACCACAGCCCCAAGTACTGCAGGAATATTCCATGGCAGACAGGCTCCTAGTTCCTTGTCACACTCTTTCTTTCACTTGAAATTAAAAAAAAAAAAAAAAAAAACAACCTTGTTACTAATCTAGTTCCTTTTACAAGGCAGGTCCTGCAGAAACCCTTTCAGTGCAGGTTTGTTTTTTCCTCTGAGGAGAGCTGTGAATCTCTCTGTGTTTGCTCTGATGGAGAGTGAAGAACAAAACCTCTGGGTTATTTTTTTGACAATATTCATCTCAAGAAAAAGCTTGATTGGACCGGGACAGACGTGTTAGGCTTTAACAGAGAGATCTGGGGTCAAGTGGCTTTTTTGTGGCTTCTGTGTCCATGTGCCCTTTCAGGGATGAGAAATAGCCATGAAAGATGAGGAGAGTGCCTTTGGCCCTGTCTGCCTGCAGAAATTGGTGTGGTATATTTAAAGTGATTAATTTCTGATTTTGTGGTGAGTTAAACCCATTCAGCACTGGAGATGTTCTCCTGAGCATCTCCAGCTCACCCACAGGCACAGAGCCCAGCAGGGATGGGAGAATTAGGAAAAGCCTGACTTCAGCTTTAGTTGATACCTGCCTAGATCCTTCAGTGGTGAAACACTCAAAATCTGTGCAAAATGCTGCAATATTAGCTTTAGATGCCCAGTGCCAGGTACAAGATCCGAGGGTTGGAACAGGCTGCCCAGGGCAGTGGTGGAATCCACATCCCTGGAGGGGTTTAAGAGATGTATAGACGTGGCACTTGGGGATATGGTTTAGTGGTGGCCTTGGCAGTGCTGGGTCAATGGCTGGACTTGATCTCAAAGGTTTTCCCAACTGAAATGATTTGGTTTTCCAGCTTTGCTGTTGTGACGGTGGTTGTGCACCTTCAGCACAAAGAAAATGGGAGAAAACTGTAACTGGAACACTTGGGAGCAGCAAGGAGAGCTTGTCATTCTGGTGCTGTTCGGCCAGGAAGGAGAAATTCAGTTTGTCCCATCCCTGGCACCCCCATTTCTCTGGGTCTGTCTGTCCTGACTCAGCACAAGCCCTTTGCAGCAGCCCCTGGCCGTGCTGAGCCAGGCTGGGCATACACAGCATCACCCTCTTCAGTCCCCCCCAAAATCACCGGCCAAGCAGCCCAAAACCCTGGGGGGGTGCTGTAAACTGTCTGTGTTGGGGTTTATTGGCTCAGGGGGGTGTCTGGGGGCCCGGGGTGGTGGGACCCCAGTGCCCTGGAGGGTCTGGGCTGGCCCAGCCGAGCCGCAGGTGTTGCTGTAACGCAACTGCCCGGCATCGCCCGCGCCCTCAAACCCGTGAGGCAGAGTTTCCCTTCGGAGATTTACGTGCACACGGAGGGGGAGTATTGGAAAAAGGAGGAACTTGGCACCAGGATGGGATACAGATGTTGCAGCTGTGAGCCCGGGCTGGGAACAGGCTCGGAGCTGAGCAGCTCTGCGTGGCTGTAGGGTCGAGTCACGGCGCAGAAATCCCCTCCCTCACCCACCAATTTCTCGGCTAAACTCATTAAAGAGGCTCAAAATTACTCAAAATTCCCAGCCTCAATGAGAAGGGTTGTTTGGAGGTTCCTGGGGACATGCAGAGGTGGTACCTAGGCTGGTCAAAAGTCTCCTTGGTCAGGTCACCAGGGATCTCCTGCTAATTGTTATCCTGGGTAATTTTTTTCCAAGCTGATGTATGGGTGGATAATGAGGGGCTGAGAAAGGGGAGGGAATGACCTTGTTAATGCTCTGTAGAGATAATGATCCCTGCTTCTGGCTGGGGGGAGCTTTGCCCTAGAAAATTGGGTTTGTGGGACTGAAGTGTTCTCTCTTTCCTCTTTTTGAGGTAGGAATAAATAACCATGTTTCCTACTGTCTGTGTTAATATTCTGATAGGTGGGCAGGGTTTGCAGATCTTGTTGGGGTGGTTTTGTGCTGCTGGATTCCATCTGTGTCCTGGTTGTCCCAGTTTTTCAGCACCAAAGCAGCCACCCCTGCAATGGGGCGGCCGACAAGCACAGTTTGGGGCCGAAGCCATCGCGTTTCCTGCTTTCCACCTGAGCTCATAAATCACACCAGAGCCTGGATTAAAGCTTAGCTTGGATTCACTGGCAGTTCTGCTGTTTTCACTGAACCTTGCAGTGATTTGGATGGGAGCTGAAGATTTATGCATATTTGCAGAGCCCACGGTTCCAGGTCACAGCTTGGACCGAGGCATTACCAGGGGATCGCTGCTTCCCCCGGCGTCTTTGGTGGCCTCATCTGGAGCAAGAGGTTGCTTGGAAAACGCATCCAGTGCTTATCTCCCCGCTGAGCCTCCTCCTGAGCAGCGAGAGACTCGAGAAAAACAAGCCCAAAAATGCTGATATCAACATTGCTCAGGAAAAACGGGATCTGTCCTCGTTCTTAACTCGGGCAGTGTCAGATGAAACAGTGCTGGGAAGGGCATGTGGGCAGATCGTGAGGAGGAAGCGAACAGTGGGGCTGAACACAGGTTTTATTTTGCTTTTCTGATCTCAAGACACGCGAACAGGAGTCATAGAAACCCCAGCTCTGTGTCCCTGAGCGGGCTGAGATGATGGCAGCGCTTGGAGCGGGGTGATAACCCCCCCCCCAAAAAAAATCCTGTCCCAGGGCAGTCCCTCCCTCAGGAAAGGTAACTTGGATCACCAGTTGGCTTCAGCTGAGACACCTCAGCCCTGGCTCCCTCGTGCCAACCCACAAACACATCCCTGCTCAGCCACACGTGTTCCCTCACCCACCGATCTCCAAACCTGCTCTGGAGGAGTTGGAGCTGTAACAATATGGCAGTAAAAAATAATGAAATGCCATCATAAAAAAAAAAAAAAAAGATGTGGAAAAGCAATTATTTATTTATACCTTGGGAACTAGGAATAATACACCTGTCTGGTGGGGATGGCTGGCACAAAGCTGGCATTGCATAGTGGTACTTAATAATTTTTTACCACACTTTATAGGCTCTTTCCTGCAATTAATGCTAAATAAAATCAACATTTCTCCAACTAGCGTTTCTGGCTCTCATTAACTCCCTTCTTGCCATTCACCATCTCTTTCCCTCTCAGTATCTTTTCTGCTTTGTGTTTATCTTCTAAATTTTTCTTTGCCCTTCACTTCTCCTGAGCTTTGGTCTGTGGCAGCTTCAAAGGACCTGCTCCCTAATTGAATTAGCTGAGATTTGGTGCAGGGTCATCCCAAAACATAAGGTTTGGCAAGGGCTGCTCCTCCAGGTGGAACACAGGCACCCACCCAAGGTGCAGGATGAGCCCCAGAGCCCTGGCATGAGAAGCAACACCCTCCCCTCAGGCTGATCCCACGGCTGGAAGGGCAGCAAAGCAGCTGGAACCACGAAAAAACCTCTGGAGGACCTGAGGGGTGGCCATGGAAGAGAAAGGCTGGGAGTTGAGAGTGTCATCCTCTCAAGTGAGCTGGAAGTAAATGAGAGTGTGAAGGGAAAGGTTATTGATGGTGCTGGGAGGGGATTTCGGGACAAAACTGGTCCTGAGCTCAGCCCTGAATTAATTATCTCTCTCTGTTTGTTTAGGAAGGAGAAGCTTCAAAGACTCACAATGACCAGGAGCCTTTCCTGCTTTTGCCCTCACTCCTCAAAATTCCAGCTGATTTCCAGGGATGTGATTTCAGCACTTTCACTGGTGTGAGCCCAGAGGGTGACACTCCCTGCAGCAACGCTGACACAGGTAGGGTGGAAGTTCCAAGGAAATACAGATCTTCTTAAAGGTCCCTTTTGGGCTTTTTGCATTTTTGTATCAAAAATGTCAGGCAGAAATACCTGATGCTGGAAATGCCCCCAGTTCAGCTGATACTTCTTCTGTTACTTCAATTGATCAGGCCCCAAATAACACCAATTAATTCCCACCCTGAAAGGAAGAGGGAGAATTTTTGCTTTATTTATCCCTCCCTTCTGATTTTCAAATTGCAGATTTTCTGGCTTCAGTTTTTGTTCTTTCAAACAAACAAACAAAAAGCCCAACAAAGCTCCTGTTTTTCCACACAGAGGGATATTTTGGACGAAATACTCTCTCCCACTCCAAAAATCTCAAAATGCATGAATTAGTTCCTAATACCACTGAAATTACTTAATATATTTAATAATTATGTCAGTGGATAAAGTGAATTGGGGGGATAATAAAAAAGGCAGGGATTTCCATGTGCCAGTGAACCCCAGGAGAGAAACTGCCCTGGAACCTCGAAGGCAGGAGAGGATCAGCTCAGGGATGTTCACCACAGAGCCCCCATCCAGCCTCACCAGGGCACTCTGGGCTGGCGTGGGGAGTCCCCCCGAGCCTTTCAAGCCTCACATCAAGAGGGTTTTTTCTTCTTTAATCAGGAGCAGTTGCAAACACGGCTCAGATGGCAGGATGGCTTTATCTGCCATCTCGCTCACATGTGGGGAGGGTGGGGGGAAATGGGACCCACATGTTATCAGCTGATGGATGAAATAGAGAGAGGATTATTGGGCAGGAAAGAGGAGCTGTGCCTGCTGCCGAGACCCATCCCCTCGCAGCCCACCCTCCCTCCTCTCCCTCTTCCCTCCCCACTGCAGCCCTCTGATGAAAAGGTTGGTGTCAGGGCTGCGGGATTTATGTGGATACCGGCGCAGCGAGGCCTGGCATTAGAGAATTGGATCCACGTGTTGCTCCTGCAGGCTGATCTCTGGGCAGGTTTCTGGGGCTCAGCAGAGCAGTCAGATACCACCTTGGCCCTGGGGCTGGCTCGGCTCTTTCCCTGCTCCCTTGTCCCCTCCTGGCTCCCGTCACCAACCCATGTGCCTGGCAGCACCTCCAGGGCTCCTCTGTGGCTCCTGGGGGCTCCTTTTGGGTGGTCCATCCCTCAGCAGTGTCCCAGGAGTATCATCCAGGCACCCCTGTGAGGGCAGATGACCAGGGGCTCCTCGACCACGGGACAAGCCGTGCCAGGCTCACCCCGAGATCGAATCCAGTGTTGGCCATTCCCCTGCCAGCCCTTCCCCTTCCACTCAATGAAATGCTTTGTGTTTGTCCTGGCTGAGTTGTCTCTGAGAGCTTTTTCAGGCTCCAGCTCCAGTTGTTTGAAGATCAAACCGAGCTGCCTGATTTTGGCATTGCTCTTTAGGAATTATCTTGCCTGGATCCCGCCTGAGTTTCTCCATCTCCAGCACGGGGCTGACACTAATTGCCCATTTGCAATGCATTTCCAGACACGTGGCTGGAAAGTGCTGCATGAAAAAAACAGGCATTGTTATTATGAAACCTTCAGGAAAAAAAAAATTAATAGATTCATATAACTCCATGGTCATTAAAACAAACCTTATGTGGATGGAAGAGACCAGAACTGCACAAACCTTGAGCAAACCCAGATTTTCACGATGAGGCACAAACTGCTTTTAATCAGCAGTGCCAAATAAGTTTTATTTTCTGAGGTTTCTTATTCCCTCGTCTCCTTCCCAGTATTAGGAATTGCAGAGGAGCACATTGGCCTGAGGTGAAGAGGGGAACTTTGCCCATCTGCTGATCTTAATGGATATCATTTTAGAAAACAACAACAAAATGCTCTGCTTGGGCTGGCCAGGTCTCAGGTTGCTTTCAGCTGCAGAGGGGTCTCAGCCAGCCTTTCTGAGGGAGTTACCCTCTGGTTGGAGCACTATTTGTCAATAAGTTTGGGGTAAATTTGGTTTATCCCCATCAGATGGTGAGAGAGGGTGGACCATCACCTCCTTGTGTTTGCTCCCTTTAGTGAAGTAAGGCAGCAATTTTTCATTTTGCCTCCCCAAAGCTCCTCTGTTTGTTTGGGAGACAGGAACAGGGTTTTGCTGAGAGGGTGCTGAGGTTGCTCATCCTGAGCTGTCCCAGTGAGTCAACAGCCTGGGGTGTGGGGCTGTCACAAGGCAGGGAATGGGAACACCCTTGGAGGGAGCCCTGTGCTGTCACCTCCCCTCTGCCTGCCCTAGGGATGTTCTCATGGCTTCTGAAGTGTCCTGGCTTTTGATGGCTGCATCCTAAAAAGGCCACCATCCCTACCAGCAGCTTTTCATTATGGTAACAATGTCTGTCTGTCTGTCCCTTTGCCTCTTTCCTCCATCCAGGCTTCAGGCTCTCCATGGTCCATTTTCATGTGTCCCAGAGGACTTCAGCATCCAGGGCAAACAGGCTGTTGCAGAAGGACATGTTGGCATCTGATGCTTGACATGAAGCTTGTAAGTCACTGATGGTGGGGGAAGGAAAAGGAAAAAGGAAACCTCCCTTCTCACTTCATCTTGCTTTCCTCACGCTGAATCCAAGCTCATCTCCGGGGTGAAGAAGGTGGAAACTTCACCTCAAGGAGGAAAAGCTGGGAGAAAGTGGCCCAGCAATGACCATTCCCCCTAGTGAACACCCAGTTTTTGGTAAAAGTTGTGCTGTCTGCTTGCAAGCTCACTTTTAAGGGCTAAATTTAGGGACACGTCTTGCAGTGACGCGTGTGGAGGAGGACTTTGGGATGACACATGGATCAGTCTCATTCCCGCATGGGAAACTTCCAGGCTCTGCTACTTTCACTGTCTGGAACAAATGAGCACCTTCCTGCTGATGCCATCAGGCCATGTGAGCACCAGCCAGACCTGGAAAGGTGCACGTTCTGGGGAGCTGGAGGAGTGGGAGGTTGTGTAACTCACTGGCAGACGTGTGTGGATCTATTTGCAATCCATTGTATCCTGCTAACAGGTTTAGCTCCAGATCAGTAATGGGATTTAGTCACCCACCTCCTTGTAATTACTTTGGTATGCAGATGTTTAATTACATTTTGTCCTCAGCTGAGCTGGGTCCGTCCTTCTGCATTTGTTGCTGGCCGAGGCTGGGCACGAAGATGTGCAGCAGCTTTCAAGCACCTGCCAGTTCCTGGTGTTGATCAGATCTTCATTTTTTTTCAGCTCAGTTGGCCAAGTTCCAAGTGCTAAAGTTGGTGATCTTGCATTCAGATCTAGCCCAGCCTGAGTTCATAAAAATGGCACAGTCACTGCACTGTCAACAAGCGCCTTCAAACAGGAATGACAGTGCCCTAAAGCCTTCTGATGTTGCTTTTGTGGTGACAGGGACTCAGAAAAGCTGGAAACCTCCAGATTCTTTGGCCAGGTGGGATGCCCCACTGATGCTTTGAGGGTCTCACACTTGGGGTGAGACTTTGAGTCCCATCAGCCCAAAGGATGAGTGGGTGGGTGGGCTCTCTTCAAGAAGGTCCATCCACTGGGTAAGATGGTCTTATGGAATCATGGAATTGTTAAGGCTGGAAAAGACCTTTAAGATCATCAGTTCCAACTGTCAATTGTTTTTCCAACCACTCAATGTTTTTAGCAACTTCACTTAAACCCTCAATGCACATCAATGAAACCCTGAACACAACATACAACAACCAGGTAAGAGCTCGAGCGAGGCCCCAGGATCCTGGTTTTTAGGGCAGATTTGTGGCCAGCCTTGGCAGCCTGTTTAGTGGTGCCCTGTGAAACACTGAGGGCACCCTAACAGCTCTGTGGGGTTGTTTTTTAGGACACGAGGACGACAAAGTTATCAGCCCTGCGATAACTGCATTCTCAGATGGTGTTCCCATGGCCTCACCTGTAGATGTTTCTCCACGTGAACTCCTCGTCAGTGCATCACCAGAGACAATCCCTCGAGGCAGCTGGTGGCA